CTTTTCGCTGCACAATATGTTAACTGATGGATTGGGGTTGTGTGATGTTTTTTATCAGCTGTTTGGACTCATTCTGACAGCACCCATTCACTGCAGAGGATCCATTGGTGAGCAAGTGATGTAATGCTACATTTCTCCAAATCTGTTCAGATGAAGAAAAAAAAACTCATGCATCTTGGATGAGTAGACCCTGTGTTTTAATTTTTCTGTGCATCCATCCTTCACAGCCTTGATTTCATTCATGTAAAATTGAATATGGCATCTAACATGACTAAAATCGGTTGCTGTAGCAATGTGCAGTGTTTAGTATTGTACTGACAGAACATGCCACTCATGTTGTAAAGAGACACAGGCACAAAAAAAGTGTGCCCTTTCAAAGATGATGCACAACATAATGGACGGCAGATTGTTGCAAAGGCTTTATGATAGTTTGGTGTGCAGTGACCTCTAGTGGAGAAAGACACAAATCAAGTGTATTCCGAGAGATTCATTCAAAAACGAGCTTGTATTCTCAGTCCAGTTTAAAGGAACAAAGGATCCGTTTCTCTCCATAAGTGTATTGATTTGCAGTAGTTAATTAAAAAAAATATACCGTTTTATTTCTATGTGCCTATGCCATATTGGTCATTTTATTTCACTGACACCATAAATACAAATACAAACTAAAAATTTAGGGTCCGGAAAATGTAAAAAAGAAAGAAAAAAAGAGAGAGAAAGAAATTAGCGCTTTCATTCAGCAATTATGCATTAAGTTGATCAAAACTTAAATTGTTACAAAAAAATAAATAAATAAAAGTTAAAAAATGCTGTTTTTGAGCTTTCTATTTACCAAAGGAAACAAAATTATCACAAAACAAAATAATAAATGCAGTGAGCATAACTCATTAGACATAGACTTATTTCAAACACATTTAATAATTTTATTGACCACAAAGTTTTGAATGGTACTGTAGTTCAGTTACAATTCACTCTGATTATTAAGGCCAATACATCTCTCAACAATGCCAGTTATTGTGTAAAATAATAAAAGAAAAAAGTCCTATTCAGTTTTGTGTGGTGCCCATAAGCAGTACGTAAAACATATTTTAAAAAATTATGTCTGATTTTCAAGTACATTTTTGTTAACTTCGGTATGACAAAGAATTTTTAATGTAGGCTATTAAACAGGCCTAGCTGTCATCAAACATAATGCATCAAACTCAGGTCTAACAAATAAAAATAAACATGAAAGTTAAATCAAATAACCTTGGATTACTTGCAATTACACACAGAACAGGAGATATAACAGAGAGAGAGAGAGAGAGAGAGAGAGAGAGAGTGAGAGTGTTAAACAGCACACCTGGCCTCTCCTTCCCTAATCGCATTGTTTTGTGCAACAGCCAAGAATATCAAAACTTTGTCTTGGGGAAGAAAGACTTTGGCCCTGTTTTTCACCAGCTGTTGATCTTTGACTAATGGAACTGGGAAGTCTAAGAAGTCTAAGTCTAGTCTGGGAACTGGTCTAAACTTTAAAAAAACAAGTCGCTCAGAAGCAGAGAAAACATCCCACATTGCAGTTGAGTCAAAACTGGTAAAAGAGATAATGTGAATATAGGGGCAGGAATTTATGTGGTATGTGGCTTGAGGAGGAAAGAAACAGCCTGTGTGTGTGTGTGTGTGTGTACTGGTTTATATATCCTGGTGGGGACTTAAACCTGACTACACACAGACTCATGGGGACTCGTGTCACGGTGGGGACCTAAATTGTGGTCCCCACGGGTACAAAAGCTTATAAATCATACAGAATTAAGTTTTTTGAAAATCTAAAAATGCACAGTTTCCTGTGAGGGGTAGGTTTAGGGGTAGGGTTGGTGTAGGGCAATAGAATATACGGTCTGTACAGTAGAAAAACCATTACGCCTATGGAGAGTCCCCACAAGGTGCGTGTGTGTGTGTGTGTGCATGCGTGCGTGCGTGTGTGTGTGTGTATCAAAGTCAGGTCAACACCACTATTGTTTTCAAGACAATAGATCAAGGGTGCTGGTGTTGCTTATATGGGTCAAGGTGTGCAGAGGTTAACCAGTTTACTGAAGACTAAACTCCAGCGCTCCACCTCACCGAGATGTTTGGCAGGAAAAGGTTTATACGGTGACACTCAGTTAGATTGTCAATCTGATAAAACATACTGTATACTTTCCTTTACATAAACAACATATAAAAAAGTGTTTTCACAAGAGGTGCTTATTTCACGTAATAAAATAAACATAGCTACTAGTTTGGAAGTAGTTTGGAAACACTTCAGTACGTTAATACATTTATTTACCAAGGTTGTATTCAATTAACCAAAAATTACAACATGTTCTATATTATAAACACATTGTTCGTCAAATAATGTTAAATCTGTAGTTTTGCAGACCCTTGGCATTTAAGTCAGGTTATTAAATAATCAGGTGAAGTTTCATCCCATGCTTTCTGTAGCACTTCTCATAAATGTTATTGGCTTGCAGGGTGCTTCTCAGTGCCTCAACATTAGTTTTATTTTTTATTTTTTGGCCATTGTTCTGTTGTCAGATACCTTTGTATTTAAAACTCTTGCATCTTGTAATTGGTGTTTGCTATGACCTGTTCAGTGAATCTGCCAGCTGTATCTGGGGCTTCCACTGCTCTTTCTGTCCTGGTTAAGTCCAGTTTGCTTTCATGATATATTATAAATATAAGTAGCACAACCATTTGTAACTGTGTTGAGATAAAAATAAAAGTTTTTCTGCAGCAAACTAGCAGCTCAATAGAATGATTGCTTTTGCATGACTTTACACAAGAGAAAATTAAATCATGGCTGCTAAAAATAGTAGATTGAATTATGAAACGAATAATGAAAAGTAATAATATTTTGCAGCTTTAATGCAATGATGTACTGGAATTATAATACTTTTAAATGCTATCTTGGTGAAGTTTTAGTTTATTTCAAAAACACAAATATACACTACCGTAAAAGTTAGCATTCTAATATGCTGATTCGGTGTTCAATAAACATTTATAATTACTAATAGCAATGTTAAAAGCAGCTATGCTGCTTAATACTTTCTGGAAATCATGATACATTTTTCCAGGATTTATTGATGGAACAAAGTTATTTATCATTTATTTGAAATATTATTTTTTTTGTTAAAATGTACATGTTTGTTTGTTTGTTTTGTTTTGTTTTACTGACCCCCAATTTTTTAACAGTACTGGAAAATAGTAATCAGTTGATTTACTTGTAAGGATGAGAATAAAAGAAATAAATGAAAGCATAAATCATCAGTTTTATAATATGCTGTCACGCATCATGTATACTGCTGTAAACAGGCACAAGTTATTGTACATTTATGTTTTGGCACAGTTATACTGTATGCAATTATGATAGCAAACAAAACTTGCTTTTTTTCCTTTTTTTTTTTTTTTGCAAGACTGCAGATGAACACATCTGTGTTCTGCTCTCTCTTACCCTGTCCTCCTGAGGTACAGCAAGCGAGAGGGAGGAGGGGGCAATGGCCTCAGGCTTGGGATAGCCCTCCATAGGGACAGCTATGAGGACCAGTCCTGGATGTGTGCCCACCCTGAGCTCTGTATTACTGACGTATCCAGGGTCTGAGATGCAGTCTGTGTAACTACCCAGACACAGAGAGAGATAAACACAAACATGCACACTGAGACTGTAAATAAACATGTCCTGTGCGCGTATCAGAGCTCGGAGGGCCAGTTAGGCCAACAAAGCCCTCTGTGATAAATTGTACTCCAAACACCAGCCATGCCAAAACTAGACAGACAAAGTCATGGCCATCACTTCACCCCCAAACTCAGCGAGGACAAGAGATTCTCAAACATAAAAGACTTGAGCATCATCCAAATGCTCCACATAAAAGTGTGACGACACTACAAAGTGTTTTTCTGCCTGTAATTGAGGTAAGGGAACTGTCATCATCACATTCACACGTTTCCCATTACATAAGCAGCATATTTTGGCATATACTTTATGTAACTGTGTAAGTGCTACATAAAATCAAAAGCAAAACTTTTGTGCACTAAATCAAATGGTCTGTATAAACCAATCCAAGATCCGAAGGATGAAAACATTTTATAATAATAATTAACATGGCGCCGAGGAAGCTGAGTATCATTTCAGCTTTATATTTTACAGTGCAAAGCTAATCTTTATTGCTCCCATAAGAACAAGATTAATTGGGTAATGGAAATAGCTCTGCATACTTACGCTACATGATTGGGATACAAACCAAGATTTTGTTTGGTCTTTGCTTTATGATATGTCATCAGTGAGTAAAGAAACACGGAGTGATATAATATTTAGAGATGCACTGTAGAGTTTTTATTTGATTGAAACCATATAACCAAATACACAACAGTTTCAGAAAGACTGAAAAGTGTAGTAGTCCTGATAGTTTTCTTTTCTTTTTTTTCCAATTTTCATTTTTACATAAAACTTACATTACAAAACTTACCCATTTTTATGTTATTAAATGATTTAAAAGTAGACTTATATGCTGTTATTTTCATATACAACACTTTGAATTGCCTTTATGTATGACATTTGCTACAGCAAATAGATCTATTATATGTAAAAATATTTATATAAATAATTTATATTTATGTATTTATCTTTTTTATTTATATTAATTTAAATAATTGATTTATATATTCATCATATATGAATAAAATATAAACTATTAGCTCGCTTGTTGCTCTTTTATTTTTCTGTTTTCCTGTCTCACTACTCTGCAACTAATTCTGCCCATAATACAATAATACATAGTTTATTTACTTCTTGACCTTGCTACTATGTATTTTGGAATTTTTATTTATTCATTTGTGTTTTTTTCCCCCTAATACACAGATGCAGTATTTCTGCCCATTAAGATTTTTTGGGCGATCTTTATTATCATTGTTATTATTTGTATTCATTTTCACTCCGCCCACACAAAGTTGTGAGAAGCACATGTGAATCATGCCCTCTCTAGCCTGCATCTAGTGCGCATGCGCACATGGTTGACGTGCGCTGTCCGCTGAAGAAAAGGATCGGCCGGCGCCATGAGCTTCCATCACACTCAAAGCTCGCGCTGAGACTTCACAAGTGTCACAACATAGATGTCTAGGGAATGTGAGAGCGTCACGTTGCCCTCCGTCAACTGGAATGAAAACGGCAGCGGAGGCCGAGGGGCAGCGTTTCTTTCAATTTCGCTAGTGGATACTTGTGGCGAAGTTGCAGGCTGCATACTGTAACACAGCGCTGAAACATGGAGGGACACTCAAGGGAAAGCGAGTGTCTGGAGCGAGAGCGCCAGTACTGCGAGCTGTGCGGGGAAATGGAGAACCTCATGAAGTGTGGACGGTGTCGCAGCTCGTTCTACTGCAGCAAAGAGCACCAGAGACAGGACTGGAAGAAGCACAAGCGGGTGTGCAAGGAGGCCGACAAGCAGCAGCAGCAGACGCCGCCGGCTGAAGAGCGCAGCCCCGTACAGTACAACACTTCAGAACCGTCCAACACTTCTCAGAGTAACTCTACCGTTACGTCACCCGGCGAAAGAATGTCAGATTTTATCAAGTCCGCCACGCACTCTGAAACCAAACCGAGCGCAGACAGTGTGAAACCCAATGGACAGACGCGCTCGCCTCCTCAGAAGCTGGCCACGGACTATATCGTGCCCTGCATGAACAAGCACGGCATCTGTGTCATCGACAACTTCTTAGGCGAGGAGTTTGGACTGAGTATTCTGGAGGACGTGCGGGCGCTTTACCTGACCGGCGGCTTTACCGACGGACAGCTGGTCAGTCAGAGGAGCGACTCGTCTAAGTACATTCGGGGGGATAAGATCACCTGGGTGGAGGGGAAGGAGCCCGGCTGTGAGAGGATAGCGTTTCTCATGAGCCGCATAGATGATGTGATCCGACACTGTAACGGTAAACTGGGCAACTACAGGATCAATGGAAGAACGAAAGTAAGTACAACTGACATTATAGGACAGTTATGATGCCTGGTGCACTCAGTAGTTTTGTGCTAATTAAAAAAGTTGCATGCATAAACAAATGAGCGATTTTGAGAAATATCACTCTGACCAATCACGTAGAGCTTTCATTATCAATATTAATATGCCTACTGCTACCATCCCACGTTGAAAAGTTTCATGCGGGTCGCCCCCTCATGGGCACCGCCATGTTGATGTCACATGACCACCCACGCAGGCGCTGCAGGTAACCAGCTGCACAAATAAAATGCAAAACTGGCAAAATTTTACATCTTACAAATATGTGTAGGATGAGATGAAAAGCAACAATACAAAAAGTAAGCTTTTTGTTGTGAATTAGCAGTAGTTAGTGAACAAACGTCATGACGATGTGTCAGAATAGAGTCCAAAACTACTTGTACTTGTGAAACAAGAGGCAGCTTAATCGTACTAAATGCATCTTTCATTTATAAAAACATTATCTAGGAAAGGGAAATGTAGATATGTTAGAATTTTAAAGGCCTAGAAAGTCATGGAGATTTTATAGGGAAAACAGTTTATTGGGGCAGTCGTGGCCTAATGGATAGAGAGTCGGACTTTCGGACTTGTAACCCGAAGGTCGCGGGTTCGAGTCTCAGGTCTGGCAGGGATTGTAGGTGGGGGGAGTGAATATACAGCGCTCTCTCCACTCTCAATACTACGACTGAGGTGAGACCCTTGAGCAAGGCACCGAACCCCCAACTGCTTCCCAGGCGCCGCAGCATTAGCTGCCCACTGCTCCGGCTGTGTGTGTGCACTTGGATGGGTTAAATGCAGGGCACAAATTCCAAGTATTGGACACCATACTTGGCCACCTGTCACGTCCTCCTTACTGATCTCTGAAATATTTAATCTGATAGTAACTGCTTTTTGTGAGTGCAATGGCTATGAAATTATAATTTTCTTATCCCATAATCTTGTGGAAAAGGAATGGAAAAATCATTGGGCAACAGGCATGGGAACATAAGGTTGGGAGAACAGGTGAAAGGGTCAGTTAACACATTAACACATCTCGGATGGGATAGGTTTAAACTCATATCTGTGTCAGTTTAGATGGGAAGAGGACTCACCTTTGATGCAGAGACATGTCCGCACCTGTCTTTCAATAGAAGGTGAATCTTAGGAAATATTATTCAGACATTATATTAAAAATTAAAGCATGCATGTTCACTCTTCTCTGATACAGATACAGTTTAAGTTTGTCACTGTTTTTGTCATTGAGGGCTTTAATGAACAGCCTCTATAGAATATCTCCTGAACATGCCAGTGTGAGTTCATCTGAAATCACAAGTTTCTCACACGACCTTCTTTACTGCATTTGTAGCAACTCTAAAAACCTCCTACAATACAAGTTCTGGACTAAACTAAACTAGATTAAATACCTTGGATATATGCACCCATCAGGTCTCTCCCCCAGTTTCAATTGTTCTTGAAAATTCTACACCGACAAATAATGTCAGTCTGACCGTTTTTTAAAAACAGGATCTTCCTGTGGAGCCACCGACTATGTTACTGATAGTGCCTTTGTGAGTTATCCTCAACCAGCATGGCTCTCATATTTCCCCAGGTCAGGGAAACGCCTGCGACCACCAGCTGCTATCAGACGTACCCAACGCAAGCACAATGTTTGGACAAACGTCTAACCTCTCAGGGTTTAGGGAAACGATCACCTTTTCCCTCGTACTGTAAACACGCACACAAGAAATTTGCAACGTTTATGCAAGAGTGACGTAAGATTATGTATAAGTTGAATGTCTCATTTTAGATCACGCACTAAGGTAGATAATTTGGATTTTAAGGTCTTCAGGTCTTCTGGCTCATTAGAGTTTAAAGTGTCTCTTATTCGACGATGAAGACCCCAGTACTTCATTGACTGACTGTGTCTCGAGGAGTACGTATTCCTCTTTTTTTTCTTTTTTTTTAAGATTCACTCTCTGTTCGCCACAGCAAGCCGTCACAGGCATGTTTTCTGATCAGTCACGTACACCATGATCAGACTGTCAATAGAAACTACATTATTATTAAAGAGAGACATTAATGCTTAAACATTTATTTTTAAGCATAAATGTTTCCATGGCAAAAGATAAATATCATTAGATAAAATGTTATATAGTGTAGTGCTTAAAGCATATGCTGTGCACAGGATGTTGTAGTGTGAATAGCAGAAGGCTTGATGGGAGGTGATAGCACTTCCTGTAACTGCATATTTTTTAATGTCATTGTGATGGTCGCAGATGTACAGCAACACAATTCAGGATGCTCAGCAGGCATGTGACATTGAATCGGCCGGAGGGAAAGTGTCTGTTACATAAAACACAATGAACGGATAATATGTTTATGTTTTGTATTGATATTAAACTATAAACGAGCTTTGTGGTTGTTAAATGTTGGAGGATCAGAGGCAGAGTATATACATCTGGGTTTCAGTGAGGCCGGAGATGGCGGATGGGACGGAGATGAGTAGAGAAACAGGAACAAAAGATCATGTTTATTGTGAAACAACAGGACGTGACTTTTTTGAGTAGTTTTCATTGATTTTGATGGATATTTTTGGTACATTAAAATTGCGTGGAATTTAAATATTATAATTCCTCTTAAAAAGATAGTTCACCCCAAAATGAACATTGCCATCATTTACTTAAACTCATGTTAGTAGTTTACAGTTAGGGCCACACTTTATTTAAGGTTCAGTTCTCGCTAACAAAACCAATAACTACGACTTCTGCCTCAAACTCCTAATTTGCTGCTTATTAATACTTAGTAACGTAGTTGTTAAATTCAGGTATTGGGTAAGATTAGGGATGTAGAATATGGTCATGCAGAATATGTGCTTTCTAAGTACTAATAAACAGCTAATATGTTAATAATAGTCATGCTAATAAGCAACTAGTTAATAGTGAGAATTGGTCCCTATACTGTTATTTTAATTAGTAAGTTCGCTACATATCACCCTGTATTTTTTTTAATTAATGTAGAAAAATAAATAAATGAAAACTGAAATAGTTGCATATTTTGCACCATGTTAATGTTTTAATGAATATTTTCATAATGTACCAAGTCGTATTGTTCCTTGTGTCCGTGGTTCTTGCACGTCTTTCAGCAGCAACGTCCTTCTCTAAATCTTCAGTGTCATGGCATAACTATGTTGTGAATGTGCGTTTGTAGTCTGTATTGGTGCAATAAAATGGACCATTTATCAGTGCATATAGTACCTAAGTTGTGAATGTGTGTTTGTAGCCTGTATTGATGCAATATAAAAAGACTATTTACCACTGAATAACGGCAGAAGTTGTTTTCACACAAAAACAAACAAATTATTTTTTTTTTAAGTGAAAAAAAAACATGTGCAACTAGCACATGATCAGACTGTAAATAGAAACCATTCCCAAACAAAATACTTTTTTGGTCTGTTTTATTAGTAAATAAAAAACATACAGCATAACCAGTGATGATTGAACCCAAAAATGACTCTTATGAGCCAGTTATTTTTCTAATGAATCATTGAATAATAATTTAACGAATTCAGAAAGTCATGGCATTAAATGTACTTTTGTCTAAACAGTCTTAAATCAAGATATATATTTACTTGAAATGCAAAATGAAGAAAGTTAAAGGCTTGTTTTCTGAGAAATTGAACACAAATAAGTGAATATGCTAAAAACAAATTTTTCTGAGCCCATACATTGGCAGATATTTGTTATGGTTTTAATCATGATAAAATAACTTCATATCTTGTCATTTTGCTTCTCAGTGTATCTTGATTTAAGAAACTTTACACATTTGTAGTGGAAAACAAAACAAAAATACTGAGGAAGAACAGCACTTTTTTTTGCAGTGTGATCAAAAGTTACTTCCATATTCTAGTTAAGCTTTCCTTTTAAAAATGAATTGAAGAATAATGGAGATCTGTTAAATGTTGTATTTACAACACATTTCTGCTCACTAGACAATTACATTTAGAGAACATATTGATATTTAGTTCCCTTTAATTTTGTCCTTAGATTTTCTTTACTTTAAAGTCTTAAATTGACCTTTGTAAAACCTGCAGAAACCCTAGTATAATTTCCAGCATTAGCCGAGAGAGAATTCTTTCCATATGTAAGCAAACTGCCCATTTATGAATTAAATCAGAAAATTGTTTTTGACTGTCGTTGACCCAGGGGCTCCACCACCACCTGCTCGGCCACCTTCTGGGTGTCAGGGTGAAGAATGTGTAGCGCAATACAACACAATGAATTGCCAAGTGGTCATGTTTACATTACGTGACCAGAGATATGCTGGCACTCAATCAGAATGGGCTGTTTTTGAGCGTATTCATTAGAGCAGTTCATTCCCTTTGGAAAGTCCCACCTCAGTGGGAAGGATATATAGTATTTCTTTGCGTCTGCATTGACATCTAGTTACGTGCTTTTTTGTTTTTGTTCCCTTATGTCAGGAAACCTTGCGTGCCACAAACAGGGATCTTACGAGGTTGTTACTTGAAGGCGGAAAGTTGATGTGTAAAACACCTGTAGACTTCATTATGAACTATAATGAAGCCTGTTTTAAAAAATTTGGTGCATATTTATACTGTATGTGTGTGTGTGTGGTTTTTGTGTGTTAGTTGCAAGTTAGGCCTATTTTTATCAGCAGAAGAAGCTTATGTGTTTAATTTATCTTTTGGACATGTGTCTTATCACTGCTTTCTCCTTGACGTGTTTGTTAATGGTGCAGTGTGGTGTCAGTCTGCCAGGGTCTCAGTGCTGGAACAGCAGTGCAGCTGCACGCTCTGCACGTAGCAAGAGTACAAGAACTGTCTGCCTGGCTAAAGTCCAGCGGCTGAGTTTTATATCAGCTCTGCATTGCTCACTGGAAGAGACGGCAGCAGGTCAAGACCATATGCAGCAGCTCACATAAAGGAAAAAGGAGATGTTATAAACCCACGAGAGCCTCTTTTGGGAAAACAAATCACTGTT